GGATGCAGGGGCAGGGTGAAGGAGGATGGAGCAGGAGGAGAGAGGAAGAGCAGAGGCCCCAGGCAGGCCCAGAGCAGGCAGTGAGAGGCCAGGGTGGGGTCCCAGTGGAGGTCGTAGCCCTGTGAGGCCTGGGTCGGTCGTCAGACTGGAAACCGCGGGGAAGCTGGATGAGGCTGGTGTGGGAACGTGCTGTACTGAGTTTGAGTTGCAGACGGAAGGTGTGCAACATGGACGCCAGTCGGCTCCACGTACAGCCAACAGGCAGGGGGGAGCGGAGGAGGGAAGGATGGCCAGGGTTCTGGGGACGGGGCTCATCCCCCAGGGGACCGTGGTCATGTGCGCCCGGGTGCTTTGCCGACCATGTTACTCCTCTCCCTCCTGACCCGTCCCTGCGTGGTGACGGGACCCTCCGCCTGGGGCCCTTGACCTTCAGGGGTTAAGGGCTAACTCGGGCCCAGCTCCGCTGACCCGCACGCTGACCCGGGGGCCCCATTGTCGGGTGGAACGGCAGCGCCCCCAAGTTCCGCCCGCTGCCCGGCAACCTGTCTGCTCTCGTCCCTAGCAGTTGGAGGCACTCGTGCCCTCTGTGAGCGGCTCTGCCGTCTCGCACTGCCCACCTCGACGCGAGTGTCGAGTTCGTGGAGGAGGCGCAGCTCGCGCCCGCGACTGGTCAGTCAGGTGAGCGTGACTTTGGGGACAGTGGCCGCCAGGGGTGGTGCCACGGGCCTCCCTTGGCTGTAGGCGAGGTGACACCGAGCCCCGAGCCCCGATGGAGAGCCGGGCTCAGACAGCCGTCCCCGGTCCATGGGGTGAGGGTGCTGCTCGCATTGCCCCTGCCCGTGGGAGGAGGCTGGGGGGGGCAGCTTCAGCCTTGTTAAGACATCAGTTCTCCTCACATTGATCTATGAATTGCATGCAATCCTACCGTGATGACGGCGTACTTTCGTGTAGAATCTGGCAAGTCCATTTTTCTGGCTTACATCTTTAGATGCCTGTCTAGTGCAACTTCAGAATTCGGCTACCGTCTTGAAGGGGAAACTGGCCATGTGTTTGAGGCCTCTCAAGTTTCCAACATAGTCATTCCAGGCCCACGTGGCCATCCCTCCAGTTTTATTTTTCCTGAGGTGGTTACCCTCTGCCTTGACATGTCCAGAGCTGCGGTCACTAGCCATGTCTAGAATAAGCCAGTGCCCAGGACAAAATGGCAGCCACGTTTACCCAGCTCACATGTGAGAGGTTCTACCCCTCTTTTCATCAAGAGATCCCAGATGCTTTGAAAAATACTGTTCCATTCCTGCCAGCAGTAGAAATCTCTGTTATGGAATATTTTACATGTGATATTAGCTGACCACTTTGATAGCAATGGACTAAATATCTCTCTTCAGTGACAAGACATGTTTACAAATTTTTTATTTGGTACTGAATAGCTATTTCTTGAAATAAAGGTATACATGAGTGTTTAAAAAAACCATGGCCTATCTACTCTACCCTAACCATATTTTCTAGGAATAATAAATGCCTTCTAACACCTTCTGAGACAACTCCCTGGTGCATGTGGACGGAATAAGCATTTGTTCGGAAACAGAGATTTACATACTATCTGCAATCTGCACTTAGGCATATAAAGATTGCTTATATAAATTATCTTTGGGGTCTCTGGAGGTTTGAAAATTAATAAGTTAATTAGCGAAAGGGAAAAGGAAATACTTGTTCAACGTTCTTTATTTCACCAGTTCTAAAGTGAGGGATACCCAATGTAGAAATTCAATCAGGAAAATATACACTCAAAGTAAATACCCAGAAGTCAAATATGAAGTCTGGTTTTGTGTCACCCTTGGGAGTTTGCTGACGGCAACCAAGCAAACTACAGTTCAGCAAGTTGCTGGATCATAATCATTTGCTTTAACACAATCATTTATGGCTTTGGTGAGATGCCTATAAAACCAAAGAATCCATTTGGGCTAAACACGACCAAAGTGGATCAGTTTAGAGTGCGA